CACACACACACACACACACACACACACACACACACACACACACACACACTCACAATCAATCAATCAATCAATCAATCAATCAATCAATCAATCAATATCAATCAGTCAATCAAACCTTTTTTTTTGCAAGTTTTTTGTTTATTTATTTTTAAATTTTGTATCTTTATTTTTCTAAAACACGTCCTACCCCTGCAAAAAACAGAAATTCATTTCCAAAAAATACAGGTGACCTCAGGGACCATATATCTGATGATAAAAAATGGAAAAAAAAAATCCAACTTTTCTTTCTATATTTTTTTTAATTTGTTTAAAATCGAATTTAGTTTTTGATTTTTTAAAAATCCGAAACAAAGTCGGATTCCAAAAACAAAAATATGGGGTTGTAGGGCTTAAAATTCCCTACAACCCCATTTTTTTTAATTTGTTTTTAGCCTATTATTTAATTCGGGAAAATTCTGGTAAAATCGGGTCCGCGGCGCGGACCAGGTAGGCTGCGGATGCGGACCCGTCTGCGTCCGCCATCCGAGATTGGACCCGCGGACACGTCTGCGGGTGTTACATAGCCCGACGCCCATCTGTACAACGCGAAAGCGATCACCTGCTCGACTGGCATCGGCATCCTGTAGTGCGTGACAATCTTCTCCACGTGTGCGGCGCAGGCGGCTACAATCTGGTTGAACATCGCCCTCGACATACACAGCTTCTCCTTGTAGTAGTCCTCTCTGGCGTCGTCACACAAGCGTAGGTCCTCCCATGTCCCGCCAGTGCGTCGTTTGATCCACCAACGCGGTGCTTGGCGTGGGAAAACGCCGGAGTCGAGAGCGGAACACATCTGCACTACAGCTTCGCACGTCGTCACACAATCCGGCGCTTCCACAACGCTCTGCAAGAGCGCTCTCCGTTTTCGAAGCTGCAAACGCATGTCGTGGCTGGAGGATGACATTTAGCTCATGCTATTCAAGACGCCAGCTGCCACGGCCATCGCCACGGCTTCTCTCTCCTCTTCACGCAGACCGTCGCCGCGTCCGCGAACGTCCATCTCCGTTCAACGCCCACTTCGTCGACAGCCTGCCAAACACTTTGCTCGCTGGACCGGCCGAAAGCGCCACGTGCCCAACTGTGCCACAGTGCGCCACGCGTCAGGGACCAAAAGATGCGGTCGCTGCTCTGCGATGAGGAACGACACCACGCACACGTCTCACGAGCACGTCGCTGCTGCTCGCCGCCGCCACAGGAGAATAGGCACGCCCGAGCCGACCGAACAGGACGCTGCTCTCCACGTTAGCAGTTGAAGACTACGCCCGTCGTACACGAAGCTGCGCCCGCCGGTGCTCGTCGACGGATGAAACCGCACACGCCAATGGTCGACGATGGTGGAAGACAACACGGAAGCCTGACGTCAATATGCGCACGCTCGCGGACAATGGAGGAAGATAGCCCAGCGGAGGAGGAGGACAAGCTGCGGCGCCGCTGGACATGCGCCCGCTTGCTCACCACTCGCGCAGCCGCCACTTATGAATACTCTTGGCGAAAGGTTCGCCAACGCCGTCTTTCGGATGTCTTTCGTCGCCTGCCAGTCCTGCACCAGCCAGAACCGACCTCCCCCCCCCCCCCCCCCCCCCCCCCCCCCCCCCCCCCCCCCCCCCCCCCCCCCCCCCCCCCCGCCCCTCCACGAAAATTTGAATTCGAATTTTCGAAATGTACGAAACGCACGCTTCCTGCCGAAGACACCCGCACGCCGACGGCCTACCGCGCTGTGTACCACGGACACCACCCAACGAGCGAACGGACATCGACGACGCGGCCGCGTATACGCATATAAAACGGGCCGCGGGACAACTTTTAGGACGAGTCCTAAAAGACGATTTTTAGGATCGCCTGCAACCACTCCGCACGAAATCCTAAAAAACCCTTCGGACTGGTCCTAAAAAAATTAGGATTCTTTTAGGAGTGTCTAACGAGACCCTTAATCTAATCTAAGTCTGGTACTAACACGGCCCTGAGAACCTGTGAGGACCTGTGTGAATAGGTCCGGGTCCTACTAACACTCTGCCTACTGCGGCCCTAAGAAACGGAGT